CTGATGATTAAATTGTGTTTAAACGAGTGTCATGGGCTGGACTCGATTGCTTCATTGTAAACATTGCTGTGATAAACTGCTCCACAGTTCCATCCATCAAAAACACATTTTTTCCCGGTTTTAACTTAAAAGATCACGAAGAAAACCGGCGCCATCAACACGGAATGCACAGTGGGCAGAAGTTCTGTCTCTTAACCCGTGACGTCACCCCCACCCCTCATCGTTAATATTATTTATATAGTATCATTTGTAGATTTTGTTAGTGGTAGGCGTATACAGTTCAGTTGAAGAGAGTGCAATGAAAATCATTATGTAAATTATAATAATTCGTTATAATATTCAACACATAAATTTAGCCTATTATCCTCAAAATAAATGTGAAAATTTCAGAGACTTTCAGCTACTTAGCTACTTAAATCTGCAAATTCACATGTTTGGGGCTAACCTTATAGAATGCTATTGTGGTTGAAATGAAAACAAGAATCTTATTAAATGCTATTCAGCCACCTACTGGAAAAGAACGTACGTTACATGCTTAACTCTTGTAGGCCTATTGTGTTCTGGTCTGTAGGACCCATTTTCATTTTTTTTTTTCAAAAGAAAAAATTATACGATTAATTATTTTTTTAAACTCAGATTCATTGGTTTTGGCTCACACATTTTCAATGACCACACACTGTACACCCCTACACATGGTATTATGTTCGGGTCCACTGGACCCTGGGCTAATAAAAGTGTGGAAATTGTTGGTCCTGTGTAGCTTCACTCTGTCCTCCTCCTGTATGGACCTGCTGTTAGTGTGTGTGTGTTCTTTTAAATGGTTTATAAGTACCCAAATGTGTATAATGACAAAGGTATACAGCGTAACATGGTTTACATATGCCTATGGAGAGTCCCCTAAACCACATATTGTGTGTGTGTGTATGTGTGTATGTAAGTGTGTTTGTAAGTGTGAGAGAGTGTGAGTGTACAGTAAGTGTGAGTTTTGTGTTTCTGCCCGTGCATTGTTGCAAAATTTAAGCACCAACACCGTCTGCTCTCACATTCCAGCACATTTTACCCTCTATCTTGTGGGAACCAATATTTCTTTTCTCTAAATTGGGAGCAGGACACAATAAATTTAGCTTTGCCAGTGTGATTTCTTATCACAACTGATCAAGATGTCCAAAAAATTTGCTTCTTAGAGAGCATTGCAATTGATTTAGGAAGAGAGAGAATATGTTGATGATGTAGAGGAAAGATGATGCATCCATTATGAGGAGGATTCAGTAGGAGAATGTTGGTTCCTCATCTACCCGACCTACAGAACCACCATCTGCAGAGCCTGAAGTAAGTGTGTTATGCTGATGCAGCATAGTCTGACACTCCTGCCTTGCGAGAGAGAGAGAAGTGTTAGTAAAATTCCTCATCTTTTCAATATTCTAGGTGGCTGTCAGCAGCAACAAAAAGAAGTGCTGAGAAGAAAAACTTTCTTCGCTTCAGTCATGCCGAGCCAGAGGCTGTTCACGTCATGCCTGTGTCTTCGGACAAGATGGTCGCTGCACCTGCGACAGTTCCGGGTAATACAGTGCTCTTGATAGCTGCCACAGCTATTTTGTGTGTGTAGGCAGCACACACTTCGGCTCCACCCCACAAGGTCTTGCCCAAGTTGGCTGCCATGCCTGAGAGTTTGTCTCGGCCCGTCATGGCCTCCTTTCCAGAGTCTCGTCCCGTCATGGCCGTCCTTCCATCGTCTCATCCCGTCATGGCCACCCTTCCAGAGTCTCTTCTCGACCCATTAAGGCCGCTCTTCCAGAGTCTAGTTCTATCGTGGCCGTCCTTCTATCGCCTCGTCCCGTCATAGCTGCCCTTCCAGAGTCTCGTCTCACCCGTCAGGCTGCCCTTCCAGAGTCTAGTTCCATCATGGCCACCCTTCCAGACTCTCGTCCCGCCAAGACCACCCTTACAGAGTCTCGTCACGTCATGTCATGGCCGCCCTTCCAGAGTCTTGTCCTCTCCCGTCATAGCCACCCTTCCAGAGTCTTGTCCTGTCGAGATCACCCTTCCAGAGTCTCGTCTCGTCCCGTCATGGCCGCCCTTCCAGAGTCTCGTCCCGTCCCATCATAGCCGCCCTTCCATCGTCTCGTCCCGTCATGGCCGTCCTTCCATCGTCTCATCCCGTCCCATCATAGCCGCCCTTCCATCGTCTCGTCCCGTCATGGCCGTCCTTCCATCGTCTCATCCCGTCATGGCCGCCCTTCCAGAGTCTCGTCTCACCCGTCAGGCTGCCCTTCCAGAGTCTAGTTCCATCATGGCCACCCTTCCAGACTCTCGTCCCGCCAAGACCACCCTTACAGAGTCTCGTCACGTCCTGTCATGGCCGCCCTTCCAGAGTCTTGTCCTGTCGAGATCACCCTTCCAGAGTCTCGTCTCGTCCCGTCATGGCCGCCCTTCCAGAGTCTCGTCCTGTCCCATCATAGCCGCCCTTCCATCGTCTCGTCCCGTCATGGCCGTCCTTCCATCGTCTCATCCCGTCATGGCCGCCCTTCCAGAGTCTCGTCTCACCCGTCAGGCTGCCCTTCCAGAGTCTAGTTCCATCATGGCCACCCTTCCAGACTCTCATCCCGCCAAGACCACCCTTACAGAGTCTCGTCACGTCCCGTCATAGCCACCCTTCCAGAGTCTTGTCCTGTCGAGATCACCGTTCCAGAGTCTCGTCCCATCAATCATAGCCACCCTTTCATCGTGTTGTCCCATCATGGCTGCCCTTCCAGTGTCTTGTCCTGTCGAGATCACCCTTCCAGAGTCTCGTCCCGTCATAGCTGCCCTTCCATCGCCTCGTCCCGTCATAGCTGCCCTTCCAGAGTCTCGTCTCCACGCGTCATAGCCACCCTTCCAGAGGCTAGTTCCATCATGGCCACCCTTACAGAGTCTCGTCCCGTCTCGTCATAGCTGCCCTTCCAGAGTCTTGTCCTGTCGAGACCACCCTTCCAGAGTCTTGTCTCACCGTGGCCGCTGCCGCGATTGTGTCTTCGGACAAGATGGCCGCCTCTACACCTGTGTCTTCAGACAAGATGGCCACCTCAACACCTGTGTCTACACTGGTGTCTTCAGACAAGATTGACGATTCCATAACCTGGCTGTGTTTACGCCTGTGTCTTCGAACAAGATGACCATCTCCACCCCTGTGTCTTTCGGACCAGATGGCCGACTCCATGCCTGTGTCTCCAGAAAAGATGGCCGCTTCTACCGCTGAACCGTCGTCTCCGCCCTGGTCGCCTGCACAGCCTGCTCCTCTCCCCTGGTTTTTGTCTGTCATGTGACCCTGCCAAAGGTTCCCTTGAATGTTGTGTCATGTTGTAACTGGTTCATTGTTATTGTTCACAGGCGTCTCTTGTCATTATATTCTTGTGTCTATTTAAGCCCTCTTGTTTGCCCTGAGTCCTTGTTGAGTATTGATTGTTTCATGTGTCTATTATTCACCAGACTATGTGGCACACCTACTGGGTTTCAAACACATTCATTTGATTGGCTTTCATGACTTCCTTGACTTTCATAATCATTAACTGCAGGATGGCCCTATAAAAACAGTGAGGTTTGCTTTATCTGAGGAATGTCCGTTAAGGTAAGTACACTCTAAAAAATGCTGGGTTGTTTTGACCCAACTTTGGGTCAAATATGGACTAACCCAGCCATTGGGTTAAATTTTAACATTACATTTTTAACCCAACATTTTGGGTTTGTCCATATTTGACCCAAAATTGGGTTAAAACAACCCAGCATTTTTTAGAGTGTAGACGGCATGTCTTAACATTATCTAATGATCTAATGAAAGAAATAGATCATTAGATCATAAGATAATGATTCACAAGAGCCCACTGGGTATCCAATGGGTTGATCTGATGAGAGAATGATTGGATGATTAGGTTTGTCCTGTCACTATCTAAGATAAGTCTGCAAAATGAGAGACATGTGATACGTAGTATTTGGGAAGTCTTGCATTGGTCTGGTTTTAACAGCTTTACGGCAATGTAAAACCCTTATTCTCTGCAGTTAAAATTATATAAGAAGGAAAAGGGATAGTATTCATTGTTTACTTCAAAAATGTTTATCGTGCTAGGTTTATTTTTGAAAGTCAGGTTTTTATTGGCACATCATTAAAAAGAAAAAAAAATAAACTGGAAGAAAATAGTTAATTATGTTCACATGTTGTGCAGGAATACTGCCAGTATCACAGGTTTTAAAATAAAAATTAGTAAAATGATCATATAATTGCTATAATAAGAAGAACAAAATCATCTGGCAGGGACAGTGTAGACAATCTTGCAGGAAACATTTTCAGTAAATAATGTTAAACTTTTGAAAAATATCAAATATTATATACTTTGGATGTTTTTTGTTCATGCTATGTAGCCTATATTATTTAAAAATACTGTTGTGTATTTTAGTCTTCTTGATTTTCCCATTGTACTGCATCAAGTAAAATGTATACACACACACGCACACGCACACACACACACACACACACACACATATATATATGCTCTGGCAACTAGTTTATATATATATATATATATATATATATATATATATATATATATATATATATATAATTTTATTTCAGTCAATGTTTATTTTACTTCAAGTAACAAAAATGTAATGGTTTTCATTTTAGTTTAACTATATTCACCCCACATGAAGTTAAAATGTAAACCTAGCAATCATTCAGCAACATAAAAAAGACCCTTGCCCTGGGAGATATAATACATTACTCTTTTGCTTTTTCATTCAATGAATGAATAATTGAAAGAAAGACTTCCACGATGCATTGCATGGCGATTAACATGCATCAAAATGCATTGGTGCGTTGGCCCATGCACTCATTTGTGTGTGTGTCAGTGTGTAAGTGTGTATTTTTAAGCCAGAAAGAGCTTTGCTCCAGCAACACGTGGCTCTGGTCAGCTGCCTGCAAGTTGTGGTGTAATTGAGTTCACATGAGCAGCTGATGGGTCCCATAGCACTTACAATCAACTACAGCATCCCATATCCAGTCCCGTGTTTTGCCCCCTCCCCTTCCTTCCCTCCCTCCCTCCTATCTCATCTCTCTTCTCTTCTTTATTATGCTGCCCTTAACTAGCCTCTCTCTTATTAGAATTTCCATTGAGAATTCCACTACACCGCCTCCTGTCTCCACACTCATGGCTCCAGAGAAGACCAGAGATGGGCTGGATAACTATGCATTTACTGTAAGTAACCTCCATTAATAGACAGAAATTTGATGTAGAATTACTTGATTGTTTTTTTAAATTAGTCTTAGAGCTTCTAGAAATGGACATATTGAATCCAGGGACATTGAAGTTTGAATGTACTATTTGATCATGGGTGTCAAAAAAGGTCTTTTTTCATTGCTTAATTCTAAAAGTTGCGCCAAACTTCAGTCCGGTTATAATCAGTTGTATAGGTTGTGCTGATGTACAAACACAGTTGTAAAAAGCTATGGTGTGTAATAATTTATTTTTATGACGAAGATTCTAATCAAACATTACTCATGTGTTTGTTATTGTGTAACTGAAGCAATGTGTATCATAGCCTATTTCTCTTTTGATTTATAAAATTAATATTTAGCATAAAACACCAATTTCTTTAACATTGCAGCCATTAAAAAAACAAAAACAAAAAAAAAAACAGCAATACAAAAGTAAAAGACCAGTCTCTCTGGAGCGAGGTGCATTGATTTATGCTCACAAATCCAAATGAGTGAAAGTGAAAAAATATTTACTCATGCCATGTGAAATTGACTGAATTAGGAAAGGTTGTTGATTGAAATCTGCTGGGACAGAAGCTGTTTAATCTCTCTTGACTTTAGGTTGATGGTGTAGACCGTTTCTGTGAGTTACCGGGAAATAAGAATGGAAGAGGTAGTTTTTCAGAGGAGGGAGACAGTAACAAGCTAGCATATTGTGTCACAGATGTTCCGCCATGGTATCTTTGCATCTTTTTGGGGATTCAGGTAAGCACACATCTTCCTCTGAACATTGATTTAGCTTACATCAATGGACTCATCCTAATTAATTCAAATGGATAATATGCACTATGAACAGCACAGTATTTGTCCGTAAATATGTACAGTTCCAATTTACATTTTTGGTCCAAAAATCGAACCAGATCGCCAATTGATTATGCCAATCTATGCCTTTAAATGTTGAAATTAACCAGATTAATAAATACTGTAGAAATATTGTTCATTCTTAGTTCATGTTATCTAAAGTAGTTAACTAATGAAACCTTATTTTAAAGTGTTACCGAGAAAGATTTTGGATTTTGAGAATTTTTTACCCAAAATGTATGACACAAAATGAATTAGACATCATGAACACTGTAAAGCCTGACATATGAAATAATAATCAGAAAAACCCATTCTTAATGAACAGTTTAGTGCAACAAAATATAAATTGAAAATGTATAAAAAATTTGATACCATATTTGGTACATCAGGCTTTTATGGCCTATAGTGAGAATGTAAAAAAAAAAAAAAAAAAAATATTCAGAGGCCCAAAACTTGTTATTTATAAGGCCAAAATCAAAGGTGAAATTCTGATTCATGTATTAAATAAGCTACAGTTGACTTTAAAGGGTTAAGATTCGACACTAATTTTTAATTAAATAAGCCAATTTGTGACAATGATCATGAGTAGTCATTCTCAAATCATGCTGGAGAACATTATCATCTTTTACACAAACTTGTAGAGTTTGTAGACAAGGAGAGCAAAACAAATTACATTTTTTTTAAATACAGTACATATATGATTATTATATAAACATGTTGCATTAGGGTTAGTTCACCCAAAAAGGAAAATTGTCATTATTTACTGTACACACCCCCATGTTGTTCCAAATTCTTTGAACTTTTGTTCATCTTTGAAACACAAATTAATATTGCAATGAAATCTTAGATATTTCTGTTCCTTCATTGGAAGTTTATGCAACTACCACTTTGAGGCTTCAAAAAGTTCACAAAGAGACCGCAAAACAAATCTATATTAATAGAGCGGTTTTGTAAACATTTTATGAAGGGACACAATCGCTTTATATGAAGAGATTTAATTTAGGCTTTTATTCACATATGTTCACCAATCAATGTTTATATATGTGAATAAAAGCCTAAATTCAGTCTCTTCAGAAAATTTTGACTAAAATCGTGTATTCGCTTTACGATTGTGTTTCAAAGAAGAACGAAAGTCTTATGGGTTTAGACCAACACAAAGGTTAGTGGACGATGTTTTTCATATTTTTGGGTGAACTAACCCTTTAAAGTAATAGATTTAGCTAAATAAAAGACTTTCAGACTTCACTGTACTTAGAAGGTTACTGAATATAACTATTTCTCTCCAACAGCACTATCTTACAGCTTTTGGTGGCATCATAGCCATTCCTCTGATATTGTCTCAGGGCCTTTGTCTACAGCATGACGGCCTCACTCAAAGTCACCTAATCAGCACCATTTTCTTCGTGTCTGGGGTGTGCACCTTACTGCAGGTCACTTTTGGAGTGAGGTATGGTTCCTGATCACTCATGGCAATGTTTCACATGGGAAGCCTGATAAAAAAATGCACAGCAGTCCTCAGAAATACTGATAAAACCAAGGCAACCAAGATATTGATGTGCAAATATTTTAAGGATGAGGTGTTGGTTGAACAACGAAACACTGTGAGTGTTTTGATCATTGTCATGAATCAGTGTTTTGTTGTGGTTACAGAGATACAAGGGCCTTTCTTTGTCAATTATTTAACTATAGGTGCTTACTGCTTAATTATGAAAAGCTATTTCTCATATAGAAAATGATTGCAGTATACTTCATATACACTTTGAGTGAATGTGTTCCTTGTTTAATTATAAGGTGACCTACACCTTTGTGAGTTTATGAACAATCCAAATATTCAGTCCAAGGGTTCATTGACCTATAAGTGTGAATAATGGCTTAGCAATGTTTTCACCGTCTGATAAGCCTCTGATTTGATATCCTGTTGTGTTCTGCTTGGTCTAAATAACTGGCCATAGAAATCCTGCTCTGTTAACTCTACAGACCCTAAGAACTTCGAGTGCATTTACTTTTATGCCAATCAAACATGATGGATTTGAAACAATTCATTATTGATGGACAGCAGAAATATGTGGGCCATTGGTCAGACTGATTCCTGTAGCTGAAAACCGTAATCGGATTAGGAATTTTCCATCGTATTAGCATGAAGTCCAGCACATTTTAAATCCACATTCCTCATGTCTCTCAACTGAGGAGCTCCTTTTTTGTGAAGCTGTAGAATTGTTGTAATTAGTTCCCCAAAAACGACCTAAATTACCTTTTGTAACCTTTAAAACACTGAAACAAAGTTGACAAAAGGGGCTGAGGCACATGTCAATTATGTAAAAAGTAAGTCTGGCAATTTAAAAGCTAGATTTTTGGTGACAAGGTTCTTTTCTTTCCTAATGCAAGGTTACCCATTCTCCAGGGTGGAACGTTTACGTTCCTTTCACCCACCATGGCTTTGCTTGCAATGCCTGAATGGACCTGTCCAGCCTGGACACAAAACGCCAGCCTGGTCAACACCTCCTCACCCGAGTTCATTGATGTTTGGCAAAGTCGAATGCAAATGGTGAGTATCTCTGTGATTGGTAGACCCTGCATGTAAGGATAAAGTAATCCCAAATTTTATCGTCATAGTCAAAGTCGCAATGAAACGGAATTTGTGATCATCTTTTCTTCCCTACTTTGACATATATCTGTAGCCTGGGATTCCCCATTCTGCTTTACCGCAGCGCGATTTTATTCGCAGTCTGGATACCATGAACCAAATTTTCCCCTGAAATAGGGAACCAATCACAGAACGGGGAGGGATCACAGGCGCATCTGATAGATGTACAGGCGCATTTGATAGCACCCAATAATACGGCTCTGGGCATTCGTAAACCACGCCTCAAATACGAGAAATTGAACATGTGGTTTCCAGACCACGTTTCATTCTCAATGATACATGGTCTGGTGTTAGCCAGGCTAATATATCTGAGCAAAATGGCTTCATGAACAAGAATGTTTTTTGTCCACTGGGAATTGATTGATTTGTTGGATTGTTGTGGTTTTCTATTGCTGTAATCTCATGTGAGTGACAGGTTGTCCCTCCCTTGTGCCAGTAAACAAGTCATTGTTTTAGATAAAAACCTAAGCAAAAAATGTGAAATCAAATGGCTAGTAAAAATGTTTCCTAACACTGTTCTGGATGTCAAACTTGCAACATATTTATTATTAAAATGATGAACTACACCTGTCGTTCCTTGAGGGTCACCCGTGTGAACTAAATGGGAACTAAATGCATTACTTATTTGCAAGTTGCTTAATAACAATTGGCTTAGTATTTTATATTTTAACCCAATGAAATTCATACTTTTGGGGCCACTGTATATTTAGATGGAAATGCAGAGGTAAAAATGTTATTTAAAAGAAGATAGCTATACAAAATTATCCTGTTAGAGAAACTCATCAAAAAGAATATCTTTATAGAATAAGCACTAAAATCCAGTCTCTGTTGTCTTCTCTTGCACAGCTCCAAGGCTCAATCATGGTGGGCTCCCTATTCCAAGTGGTAGTGGGATTCTCCGGTCTCATTGGTCTCTTCATGCGTTTCATTGGCCCTTTGACCATTGCACCAACTATTTCACTAATTGGTCTATCGCTGTTTGACTCTGCTGGCATGAACGCAGGAAACCATTGGGGCATCTCTTCCATGTTTGTACTTTCTCAGAATGAATTGTCATAATCCAATTTTTTTAGTAGGTACACTGAATACCATTAGAAAAAGTTATATTTTAAAAGTTATATATGAGGTTTATCCTAACTCTACCCCAGACCTAAACCTACCCGCGTCATCTAACTGACGTTAAAGGTAAAGCGTCAGTTGGATGACGCCCTGACGTTAAAAGGGTACCCTAAAACGTTGGATGTTGACGTATGGTCAAAAGCGTCAGTTAGTTGACGTCTTGGGATGAGACTGTGTTATATATTTTGAAAGAAAACCTCATTTTAGGTGACAGTATCAAACTTGAACAGGTACATTTCTAATAAACATAACACAATACCCCAAATAACATAACTTAGTCGAAAATTTGTGAATACTTGTGTATGAGTTGATTTACTTGAATTGTCAGGTAACACATTCACTACCAGATTGTCCAGCAAGGACTTTTAATGCTTTAACTTAAAAGCACCTTTTATGCTTATATAGCCTACTTAAACTAAATCTTAAATGACACGGAGCCATAACGCAGTCTTATTGTCCTCCACAGGACGACGTGTTTGATTGTGATATTCTCGCAGTACCTCCGTCATATTCCCGTCCCTTTCCCCAAATACAGCAAAGCCAAGAAATTTCACACTACCAGGATTTACATTTTTCAGATTATGCCTGTAAGTTTTATATCTGTTTTCTAAGTATAAATGCTTCATAAAAATACCTTTATAAGCAAGGCCTGTTTCCTCAGGTCCTGCTAGGAATCACTCTTTCTTGGTTGATTTGCTACCTGCTGACGATCTACAATGTCCTGCCCTCAGACCCTGATAAATATGGCTATCTAGCTCGGACTGATGTTAAAGGAGACGTTACGGGCAGGGCGCCTTGGTTCAGATTTCCTTATCCAGGTATTGCAACCAGCACAATTAAAACACATAAAGTATTTTATATGACCATTGCTGTTTCTTTTCAAGACTCGTTATTGCTGTCGTATTATCAGATGGGCTATTGGAAGCATCAATATTCATATTTATTACCATTTTCCAGGTCAATGGGGAGTGCCAACTGTTAGTCTGGCAGGAGTTTTTGGAATCCTGGCAGGAGTTATATCCTCAATGATTGAATCAGTGGGTGATTATCATGCCTGTGCAAGGTTATCTGGTGCTCCACCACCACCAAGACATGCCATCAACAGGGGCATTGGCATTGAAGGCATTGGATGTCTGCTGGCAGGTGCTTGGGGCACAGGCAATGGAACCACATCCTACAGTGAGAATGTAGGAGCCTTGGGGATTACCAAGGTACAACATCTTATTATGATAAGATTTATTACAATGATAGCCTAAATGTTTTATACTTAATTCAATTTCATAATGATTGCATAGGCTTACAACACCACTGTCACGTCTTGTTTTGGTCATGTCTCATGTCTTTCACAAGTTCCTTGTGTATTTAAGCCCTCATATTTTCCATGTATCTTTGTCAAGTATTGTTTCCTATATCCACTGTTAGTAAGTCCATGTCAATGTTCTAGTCCATGTTTGTGTTCACGGTTAAATTTTGAGTTTCATGCCATGCTTTTGTTTTATGTTTGCTCACATTTTGATTTCTAAATAAACTGCTCTTGGGTTTTCTTCAAACTCACCTTCAGTGATCATTACAACTACTATTCACTATCTAAAAAAATAGAGAGATTATGAGAGATTGTTTGGAATTTTTTATTGAAGTTACAGTGAGGAACCTTTTGTCTTTACAGGTTGGTAGTCGCATGGTGATTGTGACCAGTGGCTTTATAATGATTATAATGGGAATGTTTGGGAAAATTGGAGCCATATTTACTACAATACCAACGCCCGTCATTGGAGGAATGTTTCTGGTCATGTTCGGGGTCATTATGGCTGCTGGTGTTTCAAACCTACAGGTAAAATTGTTCATGCAAAAAGCTTCACATTAGGTGCTCTTATTGTACTACTGGTCAAGATTCTTTTTGGAAAAAAGTATTCTCATCAAAGCTGTGTTTATTTGATAACAATACAGTAAGACTGGTAATATAGATGATTTTTCATTCTAATATGCTGATTTTGGCGCTCAAGAAACATTTCTGATCCATCTATAAATTACAGGAACGTCTGTCTGTCTGTCTGTCTATGAGTCTTTCTGTCTGTCTGTCTGTCTGTCTGTCTGTCTGTCTGTCTGTTAATCAAATATCTCTCGAACCGTTAGTCCGATGGATTTCAAACGTGACGGGTGTCTTTCTACGGGCAGTGCCGAGTTTGACGCTGTTTGGATTAGAAATGCAAAAGATGTTGTTAAATATATCTGTAAAAGAAGTACACATTGAAGTTGTGGTTTAAAAATAAACATTCTGACATTAGAGAGGGTTGTGGTTTAAAAATTGTGGTTTAACATTCTGTCAGCTAAAAAATTAAGTCAGCTACACTGTTTACTTCTGAAATAAAAAAGTGATTCTTTTTGAGAAATATAGCGATTCTTTTCAAGGTTATTGTTCAGGGTTGTGCTAGATTTCATTTATTGCAATGTAATTATACATGTTTACGGTGTTATTATAAATTTATTACAGTGTTATTATACATTTGTTACATTATTATTATTATTATTATTATTATACATTTGTCACATTATTATTTTCTTTTTGAAAAAAGTAGCGATTATTTTTTAAAAGTAATATACAAATGTAATTCATATAACATTCATATATCAAATACATTTGTTATAGTCTTATTATACATTTATTACAATGTGATTATACATTTAATACAATGTAACTATAAATAGTTTAAGACTGTAAAGAAAACTATATTGTAACAAATAAATGTAATTATACATTTATTATAGTGTTATTGTACATGTTAAATTATTTTACATTTGTTACATTTTTATTTTGTTCCATTATTCTTTTTGAAAAAGTAGTGATTCTTTTTTGAAAAAAGTATCAATTCTTTTTTTGAAAAAGTATCGATTCACTTGAAAAAGTATAAATTCATTTTTGAAAAAGTAGCGATTCACTTTCGAAAAAGTATCAATTCTTTTAAAAAAATTATCGATTCTATTTAAAAAAAGTATACATTCTTTTTAGAAAAAGTATCAATTCTTTTTAGAAAAAGTATCGATTCATTTTTGAAAAAGTAGTGATTCACTTTCGAAAAAAGTATAGATTCTTTTCGTAAAAGTAGTGATTAATTTTTTTTTTAAAAGTAGCGTTTCATTTTCGAAAAAGTATTGATTCTTTTCGGAAAAGTAGTGATTTATTTTTGAAAAAGTATCGATTCATTTTTGAAAAAGTAGCGATTTAACTGAATCTGTAAGTCAGCTACACTGTTAAATTCTGATTATTATATTTTATTCTGGTGCGCTTAACGTTATTGTTTTCTCTGAGTTTAGGCTCCTCTGTAATAGTAGCCTAGGCTATTCAGCAACTCATACCAAACATACCATACCAAACCAACAATTACTAAAAAATGATTTTGCATGGGCATTGCACTAGAATGTTTAAAAAAAAAAACAGTTGTGCAGCTTAATATTTAGGTGGAAACCATGATAAATTTTTTTTCAAAGTACTTTGATAAATAGAAACCCAGACAGCAACACTGTGTCGGCCCAGATTCGACCCACATCTGGGACGTGTGGAATCAACATGTATCAGATGTGGGACGGATTTGGTTCGACACTGTTGCTGTCTGGAAAGTTCAAAAGAACAGAATTAATTTGAAGTAAAAAAAAATTAATAAAAAATTATAAACTAGGCTATCACTTCTGATTTTATCCATCCTTGCTCAATAAAAGTATTAATTTCTTAATTTTCTTATGCTTAAAATGATATATTGTTAACATGAATGATTTCCATTATTAATAGTATACAGACATGAATTCTTCACGCAACATCTTCATCTTTGGATTCTCCATGTTCACTGGGCTTACCATTCCTAACTGGATAATGAAAAACCCCACATCTATAGCGACAGGTAGCCATATAAACTATGATAAGTACTGGAGCAGCACATGCTACATACTCTTACAGACACATCTGCTCTCAGCATCCTGTTTGTTTTCCTATTAAATATCTTGTGCTATTCTTTTTATATTAGGAGTTGTTGAACTGGACCATGTGCTTCTAGTGCTTCTGACAACAAGTATGTTTGTCGGAGGATTATTTGGATTTATCCTTGATAACACAATACCTGGTGAGTTCTGCTAATAATCTGCTTCAGTAACTGTACACTGTAAAAAAATATTTTCGATATTTGTTAGCACAACATATTTTCTTTTGTCAAATCAACTTTATAATAATTTATTTAGTTGAGATAACTTAGTATTTAGAGTTTCCGATGATTAAATTAATCTCCTTCATTGTATTAACTCACTTTTTCCAGTTCAATCAACTTAAAATTTTAAGGCAACCCAGGTTACTTACTTTTTTAAGTTAAACCAACAATTTTTTTTACAGTGTACCAATTCCAATATCTGATTCATCAAGTAACTTCACCCCTTTGCGTTTACCTTTCTGTTAAATATTCCCTCAGGAACAAAACGCGAACGGGGCATTATTGCATGGAACAAGGCCCACCAAAATGAGTCAGACAACACCTTAGAAAGTGATGACGTGTATGGGCTGCCCTTTGGAATTAAAACCCGCCTCTCTTCCTTCACATGGACTAAATATGTGCCCTTCTGCCCTACACACAAAGTCAGCACACAGGATGACACACCATCCAGTTTGGATTCTTTGGACACCAAAACAGAGCCTAACAAGGATGATGCACACATCATAGTGGGGGTGGCGTTATAGTCTGTGAAGGGGACTTACATCTGAAAATCAGAGACAATTTAGTAGAAAAAGCTCCTAATTGTGTGACTCTTAAGTCACATTCAGAGGTATGGACTGAACTGAGAAGGCAGCTTTACCCCCCATTTTCATAAGTTCATATCAAATCTGAAGCAGTACTGTTCAAATCTATCTCGATTTTCATCTTTATGATCTATAAACCTAAAGTTAATCAATAATGGGTAACACTTCACAATCAGGTCACATTAGTTAATGACTATGCAGTATTAATTTTATACGTATTCATTTCTTGTTATTTCATGCATGGCTAGGCATTTATTTTGTTTCACCTTTTGAAATCACTTTATTTTAGCATTTAATATTTCATGATATATAAATTTCATGATTTATATCTTGCAAAGATATAAAAAATGAAAACTCAGTTTGGTCTATTTATTTAGACCCATGTTGTGCATCGAAGGGTTAAATGTTAGTTTATAAATATACAACTTTTTGTTAGTTTGTGTAAGCTAAGGTTCATTAAATAAAATCAACAGATAAAGCTTTTTTAAACATAGTTTATTAGTAAATGTTGAAATGAACATTTATAAATGCTTTACTCTATTTTCATTGTTAGTTCATGTTAACTAATGATCGAACTAATGGCCTAACAAGGCCTACCTAAATTGTCACTGATTAATGTTTTTTTTTTAATTATTATTATTGTCTTAATGGTGCTGGATGATTTTAAATAAAGATAATAACAGCAAACACATTTTAAAACGCTAATTTTAAATGGAATAATTATAAAGTGCATTGTATTACCATTATTTTGTTTTAAAGAAATTTTTTACCCTGTAATTTTTTTTCATATCGTTTTAAGAAGAAAGAAAAAGGTTTCTAGATTTTTAAAACATGCTAATATTACTATATCTGACATCATCTTAATAATCACTATAAATATATATATTTTTCTGCATATTTAATTTAGTTTGCTTGCTTAAAGTTTAGGTAGTCTTTAGTCAAATTCATTTCCAAGTACCTCTATTTGTCACTAGTTTTATAGCTTTGTTTCTAGGGCTAGATACAAAAGAATAAAGAGATTGTTGAAAAGCATTCTGTTTACAATACAACGTCTATGTCTGTGACATGATTAGGTGGGTCACAGAAATCGGCACAACACCCGAACAAAATTATATATATATATATATATATATATATATATATATATATATATATATATATATATATATATATATATATACACGTGACATTTTACTCTTGTAGAGTAATACAATATTTGATAAGGTATAAATATACATTTTACAAATTAAATAAACTCAGTTTTGGACGTCACACAATGTTATTGAAGCTTTTTATTAAGCTTAAAAGAACACACAATTTATGGATAATAAATCTGTTAACTGCTCTGTGGAGATCCTTAAAACACACCTGATGGACACATGCTGAAATATTGTCTGTATTTAAAGGGTCCTCAGAGACTCTGGACCCCAGATAATGAGGCCGTATAAAATATCTGGTCATTGCAGCGTTGATTGACAGCCTTGAGGTGGACGTGAGAGTTCAGTAAGAGTTCTTAAAAAAGACCACAATACAAAATGAAACTGTAGCGTGGCAGTTAACAGGATTAAAGGATTTACAGTAAGCTTTAGTTCTAAGCTATTAGCACAGGTTCTCATTTTCTAACACATTTCATGATAATTTTTTGCTATTTTATCACATATAGGCTAAGCGTAATCTCAAAACTACTCAAATACTTCCTTCAAAAACATTCTCTTTTATCAGAATCAAACTGGCCTCACAAACCCTGCACATAGGCCTATGTATTTTCATGCGCAACGAACACTATAGTGAAATTAATTCAAAACACTGTAATTCAGAAATAAATTTGATGCTTACATTTTATGAATGAGAAAAAAACTAAATGTTTTAATACCATTATTCCACCTTTCCTCATTTGGCTTTCTTGTTTTGTAATCCACAAGATGGCGCTAAATAACAACAGTTAACACACTCTTCCATCCATTTTGGACGGAGCTCCAATTTTCTCTAGCCTACTACAATCCATTGTCAATAATCTGCTAAATTCATACCTTTGCAAATAGACGAAGAACCATCATGGATGCTCTCATGGTTAATCCCAAACGTTTTGCACCCCTTTCAGCACTTTTGAGACCCCTTTCTTCCCAGTAAAATCAGACTATTGAACTCTAACTCAGATGCAGCATGCTAGGCATTTGCTAAAGAGGGACAGCTACTTCTAATTGTCAAAATCAAGCCGAAGTGCAACAGCTGCAGATGTTCCTCAGCGTTCCAATTGAAGGTGTTGCTGTTAATGCTCACATAAGTAAAACAGTGTGAAACACACCCAAGTTGATTTAGTGTTATGGAGCTTGGAGTGGAAAGCATGGTTGGTGGAAAACTGTGGTAGGTCTACTAAGTGCCTTATTATATATTGCATTTGAAAATCCTGGTCTGTTCTGTAGAAGAATCTCTGAAATACTGAGCTGAACGTGCCCTCACATAAATCAAGGTATTTTTCTACATATGTGTAAAAACTTGACATTAAATGTAAAGATCAACATTCAGTGAATAACTTTTGGGCCTGAAAAGAAAAAAGAAAAACGTTTTTTTTTTTTTTTTTTTTTTGGCCCTCATCCATCACAATATCAGCTCAAACTCTATCAAATTTTCAAGGTTGTTTTAATTTTATATGTCATTTAAAAAAAATATTTCTCTTAATTATAGTTTTTAAATGCATCTGTTGTTTATTTAAAAATGAATGCATATCTATGTTTAAACTGGTTTTGCACAATAACCTCTATCACTCCACAGTCGTGCTGAAAGGAAATAAAAAATGAAAACCACATTTTTTTGTTCATCCTCCATCCTGCTGAGTGCATGATTCTTGGCACCTGTATATCAGTTTCCATTGAGGACAGAATCCTGTGGAAGCCATCTGTTGTGATCTCTCCATCCTCAGGCTTCTGATCCAATGTTCCTCCCTTTCCCTAAATCACTTAATAAATGAGACTTTGATTAGGGATGGTGAAGCTGATCATCCAAACCACAACAGTGCTAACTTACTCAGGCGTGACCATCAAACTATTACCTATCTGCTCCTCAAAATCAGCATGCTGATCACGCTAATCACATCATCAAAGGGAGAAATATATATTCCAAGAGAGACTAAATCACTTTCAAGAACACGCAATTTTTCCACAGTAGAAGCATCTTGTTATTGAGAAGGAAAAGGAGGGAAAATCTGAGCTTTAATATTGGCCTAACAATTAGTAAAAGGAGTGAAAGGACCACTAAAATAATATTTAAATGAAAAACAAAACTGCTTTTTAAGCATGTTTTGGCTATATTGTGATTTAGCAATAATAATTAACTAGTTTTCTAGAAAATAGTGTTTTTTAAGGAAATCACGGAAGCCCTGAGCCACAACGTAAAAAATAAATACAATTTAAAAAATCCTTAAAAAAATGCTAGCATTTCAAGATTAAAGTCGTAATATTTTGAGAATAAAGTAATTTTTTGAGAATTAAGTTTTTTTTTTATATAAATATTGTGGTTCAGGGCAGTGCTTATCCATGCAAAATTCACAGCTAAAATGCTGATGGTTCTGATTGGCTGCTAGGCTACTGCTGGGTGGTAACTTTTAATAAGGTGTTCTGATTGGTTGAAGATGGTTGCTGACTGGTCCATAGCAGAGCCATATAGAGATAGACTTTCTAATTAACTACTCAACTTCATCCCATAAATGACTTAAAGGAGAACTCCGGCGCAAAATGAACCTTTGGTCTAATAAAACATCGGTACCTAGTCAATCGTTCTCTGAGTTTTGTTTTCATGATAATTGAATGTAAAGCATTTCGTGTATAATGCTAGTACTGGGGGCATTTACTAAGTAAAAATAAATCGCTAGTTTATACCACTAACAAGACTCAAAATAGCCCCACACTACATTCGATTATCATGAAAACAAATCTCAGAGAATGGTTGACTAGGTACCAATATTTTATTAGACCAAAGGTTCATTTTGAGCCGGAGTTCTCCTTTAATTAGAATTTTTTGTCATAATTAGAATTTACAAAAGCATGATTTAGTGGAAGAATTGGCTTCCATACATTATCAGTCTAATCACTCATCTCAAGTCAAGGTTTTCCCTCCACTAACCTTTGTGGGAATAAAACCTTTAATTAGCAGAAGATGCCTGAGAACTGCAGCATATTGTTTCCTCACTTCTGATATTCAGAGGCATCTGGGGCTTGTGACGGTGTGATCCCTGTGGAGAAGATGATTCTAGTAAAGTCTGCTGGACATCCTGGTCTCCTCGCTCTGGCCTCAAGGCTGTGTCCCAGGAGTGTTTGATGAGGCAGCTCCGGTGCCAGACGACCCATCCCGAATCTCTCGAAAGCAGACCCGAGACACAAGCACTCAATGTGGGCTTATAATCCTGCTTATCATCTCAGGCCAAAAAAGCATTTTTCATCTGCCGCTTCCAATGGAACCAGTTTTATGGTTACTCTGTCCATTGCGTGGATAGAAAACTATTGATGAATAGAAAGGAAGAGGTCACAAAGACAACAGGGTGTAGAAAGAGAAAAAACATATGTATTTCAGAGTTGTCAAAAGTTCATCCTTTAAAAAGTGTCAGGATTGAGAAGGCAAGGCTTGTGCTGATAAGCAGCTGTCACAAACTGACAATGAACACATTGTGAACACATCGTCCGTTAAAGTGCAGTCTGAGGTTATGGTAAGTTGAAACTGAAACCATTAGGAAAGCGTTCTTTGCTGGTTTTAGTGGCTATGAATGTCGCTCATATCAACGTGTGCATGGGCTCACCCACAAAGGGGAGATAAAAGGTAAACGAGTTATATTTTTGAGCTATCTAAGGTAAGACACTACAGGTGAATAGGGTAATTTTTTAACTAGCAGATATAACCATAAAACTTTCCCAGTTGATTACCTAAGATGAGAAAAAAAAATATTACAAGTTTTCTGTAATTTAATGTTTAAACATGCAAATGAGGCATTGTCTAATTAAATATGCACTAATTTGCATACTGTATATGTAAAAAAAAAACAACAAATCTGAGTATTGGATAAAGCCAGGTTCAAAATTCTTTTTTCATTGTGTTCACATATTAGATGAGAAAAAAAAATACAGAAGGATTTATGGATATCTACTTTTGTTATCCTGTAAATCAGAATATACTGCCAATTGCCCTAAAAAATTATTTTCGCCATGTTTTTTGGAATAAAATGTTATATAAACCAGGCTAGGAATAATAAATTTACAACTCCCTCTGTAAATATCTTAATATAACTAGGTACAAAACTGGAAAGTTTGGTGTCTATAGGTGCTACTGAAGTGGAGATTTCGGACTTGGAGTATGAGAGAATAGTCATTTTGAGAACTGGCTTTAAAGATTTAGCATCAGCCAATGAGATTTCACATTTAGAGTTGAATTCCCCCTTTACGTCCGACGCACATGGCACCCTGTCAATACAACGCATTCTCACCCCAAGGCGTCACCTTTGACCATGCTTCAATATTTGACGTTTTAGGCGCCCTTTAGCGTCACTTACATGACGCGATCCTACGGCGTCATCTAACTGACGCTAAAGGAAAGCGTCAGTTAGATGACGCGGTTAGGTTTAGGTCTGGGGTGGGGGTAGGGTTACACGCGATCCTAGGGCGTCATCTAACTGACGCTAAAGGGCGCCTAAAGGGTCAGATATTGAAGCAAGGTCAAAATGCTTCCCAAGGCGTGACGCCTAGGGGGTGAGAATGGGCTAGTCAATATGAGACGCAGATATATAAGGGCCAGAAGGCGCCTCCTAGTGGTCTAAGTCTAACCCTAACGCCACCCCAGACCTAAACCTACCCAAAACCGAAGAGTGTTATGCGTGTCGGATTTAGACACAATGTCACTATATGACGCCCTAGGATGAGAATTCGTTGTTATCTTACAGAACATTATTGTGTTGTATTTAAATGATTTTTCTGTTCACACAAAAAGCATTTTTCCATTCCACTGTACTGCTTTTCCATTGTTTTAAAGGGAAAGTTCACCTTAAAATT